CTGCATGAACGTTCACCCCCCCACTGCTATTCCAAACAACGCGTTTTTCTGGACCATTCCAATTCGCCTCGTAATTGTAGGGGTGCGTCTGCAATATTACATTGACCGCGAAAGCAGCAACGGCAAAAATACACATTCGTGCATCAACACGGGCATGCCCGCAGACGGCGTATAAAATTGCGTGCCGATTACACAAAGAGAACCCAGTGTTTTGACTGCGAACATGAAAAATCAGCCGTTCACAACACTCCGTCCGGAGGTCCTGACCTCCTTCACGGAGTAATAATTCCATAATGCTAACTGCCTGGAATTTCATACTTGGGGTTGCTGGTGTCTTTTCCAAATCTAAAGTGACCAGTGTTACTACAGTAACGTACGGACCTCCCACAATGCCCATTTCCGAACTTGATCTTGCTATACGTCAATGGTAACTTGCTCACAAAAAATCGTGAACATCCATTTGCAGATTCTCGAATTATCCTGCTAACAACAATAATGACCAACACAAAAGGTCAAGTTCAATGACATGGGAACCCCCCACGAGGCCCATATCCGAACTTGCCCTCCGTATTCTCAACGGCGACTTGCCCACTAAAAATCATGGACAAACATTTAAGGATTCCTGAGTTATCTGGAGTACGACGAAAAACGCAAACACAAAAGGTCAGCTCCAGTCACGTAAGAACCCCCCACAAAGCCCATTTTTGGCCTTGACAATGCCCATCACTAAGACAACCTGCAGGGCTCAAAATTAACTTTTTGACCTAGGAGCACTGTGCTCCTAACCATAAAAAGTTAGGAGCACAGGCTAAAATCATTATGAGGCACTTTTTAATCTCCTTTGTGCCATTTCTGTTCTGCAAAACTGGGCCGAAGTATGATGTGATTCTACACGTGGCTTTGTTGTTATTACCAAGCTTTGATGCTGACATGATTACAGGCAGTATGTTGACATAGATCGCAGAGTAACTAAGAGCATGAAATCGGCATGGCACAGCACTGACGCATATGTGGGAGGAAAACCCACGTGTGTCACAAAGATCACAGACACCGGTAAAGAAAAATGGCAAAAATTTGACAAAAGAGCAAATAATTTATAGTTACTTGTTTAAACTATGAACGGATCCATTGGGTGAACTCCCTTGTTCATAGACAATTTTCATAGACACTGGATACCGAGCTAATAGTAAGTTACCAACGCAAATTTGCCGCTGTGGGCTTTAGAGGCCCCTCCTCTTTTCGGGAGCCGGCTGGATGTTGGGCGGGCGGCCAACTTACATCGTGGGAATTGTTAAATAGGCCAGCCCATATATGGCGTCCCAAAGGAAAAGCCGACACTTGGACGGGGGTGGGACATCTCTTGCCTGGACTCGCCCAGACACTCTGGCACCAGTGTCTAGAGCCGCTGTCACTCACAGAAGGGCGGCAACAGAAGTTGCAAAGAGCCAAGAGGACCCGCCCCCGTTCTCCTAGGAGGCCCGGCACATGCGTTACTGCGCTAAAAAAACATTTTTCACATTGATCTGGCATTCTTGAACAAAGAAATACAGTCACAATGCCGCTACGTTGTAGTGAAAATTAGCGGGGGAAAATTGGCGTAGCGGGTTCTGCTATTATCTACAATGTAGGCTAAAATTTTTATTGGCGCACCGTGCGACCGTGATTTCAAATGTAGTTGCACCGTCAAAATTTTGGGCGCATATGCGACCAAATCAGTCGCAGTCACGAGCCCTGACCTGCCTACCAAAAATCGTGAACCTCGGACCATGCCTTAAAACTTTATTGTGCATAATCTGCCAAACAGTGCCAAAACGATTTCATAGCCTTCTGTCGAAGGCAAAAAGACTCAGGTGGCTTGTTTGTGAGCCTAGTATTTCAAACACCAAATATGAAATGATGAAGAAACTGTGCTAATAAATAGCAGTCAATATCAGTCAATAATGGCAGTCAATATCAGACAGATTTTTCTTATCCATAATATTGTTTTGCCACCTTGAAATTACAGTTTATAGGACTCGACCTCTTGCCTCATGATCTCAAAGAAAAGTGGCCAGCAGGCTGATTTGAATACTCCATAAACAAACAAATAAATCTTTAACAACTTGTAACTTGTATAATCGTAATATTATTATTTGACGTTAGTAATAATAATAATAATTGATGGTAAATGTACAGAAGTTACTTTAATGAAGCTTACTATATTATTAGTATTGTTAAAGGAATCAGGACGACTCGGACCATTACCAACTCGGCCCATCTCAAATTTGGTCAACTCGGCCCACCGCCCTGGTCAACTCGGCCCACCACCTATAACGTTAAAACGGGATCCAAAAAGTCATTCAGTGTACCGGAGAGCGACGACGACGAGTTGACCAGGTGGATGGGCCGAGTTGTCTGGGCCGAGTTGGTAATGGTCCGAGTCGTCCGACATTCATTGTTAAATGGTTAATGTAAAAAGTTGTTATGATGTTTGTAGTTTAAAATGTATGTAAGAGGACTCCAGGAAGGAAGAGTAGTGGTGTATTGTCCCTAATTGGAGGTTCCTGAAATAAACAAACAAAAAAAAAACAAAATAAACTCTTACCTGTATGTCATGGCCTCTATGAGAACCGGTCTGTTTTCATTCACAGCGAGTTCCCGAGCAGCTTTCACGGCATTGTACACCGCAAACGCATCGTTCCCGTCCACACGCAGAGTCGCCATCCCGTAACTCGGTCCTCTCGCAGCTGACAGAAACATTCAACAACAGTTAAATCACATTTAACTGGCTGCAGTGACTGCATTAACATATTTATACTGCCCTGTGTTTTTTTAAAAACGTTTAAAAATTCACAATATATTGTTGCCATGTTGACCAGGCATTGTTTGTGGAGACTGGTAGTTTTCAGGTTGTTTGCAACTAAAATTCTTGCTTCCCAGGGCTTGAAATCCTTTTTTCTGCATACCTGTGCTGGTGCAGGTAACATTGAAAATTACATGTACCTCCATGTACACCAGAAAAATTTCACTCTTATCATACTGTTCAAAAACAATCACCATTATTTCTTTCATACTTCATAGGTGGCAACAGCAAATATCAAAGATCAACATACTGTACCTACATTTGTACACGTACATGTATATAAACCCATGAAACTTAAGATGAAGTATACAGCCCAAATCATAACTGACATACGCATGAAGGCACATGCCACATAACAAAAAGAAACTACATGTAGCCGAAGTGTCACAGAAATAAAGAATGAAACATTTCCTACCTATCCCATCCCCCCTGTACTGCTCAGAAGTGGGTGTAGAGATGGCGTATCCATTGTTCCGACTGGACAGATAGAGAAATTAACATGTCAATATTACACAAAGAGAATGTTTCGAACAATTTTGTTGAATGGAATCCACCTTTCAAGCCACACCAATTTGATTTCTTGTACTTTGGATTTTTCCAAGAAAACCAAGCTATGATAATACAGGTTTAATCATGTTCCTAACTTTACCCTTCTAAAAAGAAACTCTGCTTCAATAGTCCTACATTCAGAGGTATATGATGTATGTTTACCCCTGTGTAGGGAGGTATTGTTTGACGCATATCTATTTGTGCATGTTTGTACAAGTGGGGGGAAATCACATAACCACAGACCACAAAAGGTGAGACCAACTTTGGTTCCAGAATCTAGCCAGGAGTTTGTTGGTCACAAGTGGGTACAAATGGAGTCCAAGTGAGAAGATGCACAGTAATAAGAATGCACAGTTACTGTAATAATAACAACAATAATGAATTAAACAAAAAAAATTTAAAAACTAAGAGAGGCCGACATTTGCTTTTGAGCCACATATCCCCCATACCAAAAATGGGCCTCCCTACCGCACAAATGGATTGTTCTTAAATCACCCCTGTCCAAAATGTGAAGTGTTCCAACAGTCTATACCTCCATGCAGCAATGTAATCTATCAACGCCTTCTGCAAATGTCAGGTCATTTGGCCCCAAAATTGACTCATTTTACCACATGGCAAGGAAAGAAGGAGAAACACATGGGAAAACAATGCTTTACATTGATATAACTATAGTATGAAGTAACATATAACTAAGAATACAACAGTTGGATGGCTATCTCCTACATTATTGGTTAGGATTTTCATTTGAATAATGCAAACTGTTGATTTTCAAGATAAAAAAGTGTTTATGCCCCACATTGAAATGGTGGAGCAGGAAAGTTTGGCATACAATGTACCTACCAAAACACTTGAATGCAGTTCATACTGTCAATACGGTATGGCTTTGTGCAGGTGTTAATGCAGTTAACCCAATTAACTGTTGGAAGACTGTTGGAATCCCAACAGCCAATCAGCAAGAAGAATAGAGGAAAGCTGCATTCCTATTGGCTCTTGCTCTGCATGCCATTCTGATGACTCAACCCCCCAACTATACTTAGTTGTGATCTGTAAACAGGCAAAAAGTCCCAAATTAAACAAGTTTAGGGAGAGTATGCCAAAAATTAAAATGAATTGCTGTTGGTAGATATATAAAGCATACCCATACTAAATTTCAGATGATTTGGGTGTAGTACTAGACCTCCAGGACCCCAAATGTACAGATTTTGTCAGAAAATGGCCCCCCAAAAAACAAATAAAACAATTCTAAAAGCCTGTATCCAGAAAATGAAAAAAAAAGCCTGGGGGTATTTGGCCACTCTACCTTCATGCCAAATTTCATGTCATTTGGCCCAAAAATGAAGAAATTGAATCCATCTAACGAAATGGCAGGAGAAGAAGAAGGAGAAGAAACACAATATTATCACCACACCATAAAAGCCTTAATGAAAAGCTGTAATATATCACAAAGGTGTAATCTCTGATTTCTTGTTTTAAGATATGTAAACACTTGTGTGTGAGTGACACTGTATAACACACCCACCAGAAGAAGATGATAGGGCATTCCAGAGTCGCAGCAAAGTTGAAGGCTGCATGGGCGTCTCCCTCACTGGCAGCTCCGTCCCCAAAATAACAGATCACACACAGTCTCTTTCCAGACCTCTTCAGCGCATAGGCTGCTCCAGATGCTAGGAAAGACACAAGAAAATTAACAGTGGCCAAATTCAGAAAAAGTGAAAAGTGGAATCTTGATTTCAGTTGATCACATCTATGATATTTTTTACCAATTTCATTGTACGTTTTTGTATGTCACTATAATTATATGTCATTAAGAAACATGTTGATACAGTTAAAACTGTCCATCGTGGTCACTCATGGGACTGCGCAAATTTGACCACTATGGACAGGTGACCACTACATTTTTATATAGAATAAAGATTCACTAATCAAAAGCAATAAAAAACAGGTCTTCTGTTCCTACTGAGATATCTTAATTCACTTGTGTCTGTCACATTTTGAACTTTATATTTACAGCTCAATAATTTTGTTCTCTTACAGTTGGTATGTACATGATTGTTCAATAAAAATGAGAACAAAAAAGTCTTGAAAAATGATTTGACATTGTTTTCCATCACTCCAACTGAACATTTTCCTGTGCAGCCCTCTGGCCCACCCCAAAAGGCGTTTGGAATAGTTGGCCAGATGATGATTTTTTTTTCCTAGGCCCAACTAAATATATGTTTACCGAAGGAAAACATATTGTTTTTGCTCAGTTTCTTCCTCTGCTTCTTCTCCAGTGACCTATGACCTGACCAATGACATGATTTGTTGACATCTGTCACCATGGTGACTGGTGTTGGGTTACATACTGTTGCAATTTCATGGTCTGCTCTGCTCCTGTCACCATACACTAGTAGTACATGTATGTGAATGTGTTTGAGTAAGAATTAACAGAGCAGACCATGTCCAAAGATACATTGTAAACATCATGCATTTGCTTTGCAAATGTTACTTCTCTAGTTTATACATATATTTCCATGTCAAAATCTTTGTTTACCTTGGGGCATCTGGGTTCCTAGTGGTGATGAAATGGTGACAAAGTTCAGGTCCTTGGACCCGTAGTGAACAGGCATCTGACGGCCTCTTCCTGCATCCTCGGCATTACCGTAACACTGGTTCATGAACTGGTCCAGCGTGAACCCTCGGTACATCAACACACCTGCCAACAAGCACAGTCATCTACTTTAGTGGTGGCTTGATTTCATGGTAGGAAGGGAAAGGAAGAGTTTGTATTTCAAGTTTGTTGTTGAAAATTGTGGCGTCTGTGTGGTGTAGTGGATAGAGCATCCGACTGTCAAGCAAGGAGACCCAGGTTCAATCCCCAGGGTTGGACCCAGACATACACCCAGACGTTGTGCCCTTGGGAAAGGCACTCAGACGTTGTGCCCTTGGGAAAGGCACTTTACATGTAGTACCCTCAGTTAGAGGAATCCTGGGCCCTACTAGGGTTTGGGTTGGCGTTAGGAAGGGCATCCAGCCATAAAAATCTTGCTCAAAAAAAAAAAAAAGACTTGCATTTGATGCAAGCACGTCAAACCCCCATTTGAGGGAAAATGACGTTAAAATTGGATTTAAAAAAAACAATTCCATAGTACAGTAGTCAAAATTATACATTGCACATTGGAAATGCACATTCTTGCTATCATGACTTTGTGGTAGAGTCAGTCACCAAGAAAATAAAACCACTGCAAAAGTTTGAAGTTTTACCGTATCAAATTCTTTCACATGTTAAAATGTTTTGATTGCTTTTCTGAAAAGCAGAATCAATATCACAGTCATGATCTCTTAATTGACTCTGAACAGCTATGGAATTATGATAAACACGAAGTAGCCTTGTGTTTATACTAATGTGCTTTTCTAGCTATACATCTGTTCTAATTATTACAGGTTATGTTCCAGGTTAGCATGTCTGTTCCAGATTAGCATGTCAGTTTCAGGTTAGCAATTGTCTGTTCCAGGTTAGCATGTCAGTTCCAGGTTAGCATGTCTGTTCCAGGTTAGCATGTCTGTTCCAGGTTAGCATGTCTGTTCCAGGTTAGCATGTCTGTTCCAGGTTAGTATGCCTGTTACAGGTTAGCGTGTCAGTTCCAGGTTAGCATGTCTGTTACAGGTTAGCATGTCAGTTTCAGCTTAGCATGTCAGTTTCAGCTTAGCACGTCACTTTCAGCTTAGCATATCTGTTACAGGTTAGCATGTCTGTTACAGGTTATCATGTCTGTTACAGGTTAGCATGTCTGTTACAGGTTAGCATGTCAGTTTCAGCTTAGCATGTCAGTTTCAGCTTATCATGTCACTTTCAGCTTAGCATATCTGTTACAGGTTAGCACGTGTGTTCCAGGTTAGCATGTGTGTTACAGGTTAGCAAGTCTGTTACAGGTTAACATGTATGTTTCAGGTTAGCACGTCTGTTTCAGGTTTGCATGTCTGTTCCGGGTTAGCATGTCTGTTCCAGGTTAGCATGTCTGTTTCAGGTTAGCATGTCTGTTACAGGTTAGCATGTCTGTTCCAGGTTAGCATGTCTGTTTCAGGGTAGCATGTCTGTTACAGGTTAGTATGTCTATTTCAGGTTAGCATGTCTGTTTCAGGTTAGCATGTCTGTTTCAGCTTAGCATGTCTATTTCAGGTTTCATGTCTGTTCTGGGTTAGCATGTCTGTTACAGGTTAGCATATCTATTTCAGGTTTCATGTCTGTTCTGGGTTAGCATGTCTGTTCCGGGTTAGCATGTCTGTTCCAGGTTAGCATGTCTGTTCCAGGTTAGCATGTCTGTTCCAGGTTAGCATGTCTGTTACAGGTTAGCATGTCTGTTTCAGGTTGGCATGTCTGTTTCAGGTTAGCATGTCTGTTTAATGGTTAGCATGTCTGTTCCAGGTTAGCATGCCTGTTCCAGGTTAGCATGTCTGCTACAGGTTAGCATGTCTGTTCCAGGTTAGCATGTCTGTTTCAGGTTAGCATGTCTGTTCCAGGTTAGCATGCCTGTTCCAGGTTAGCATGTCTGTTCCAGGTTAGCATGTCAGTTTCAAGTTAGCATGTCTGTTTCAGGTTAGCATGTCTGTTCCAGGTTAGCATGTCTGTTCCAGGTTAGCATGTCTGTTCCAGGTTAGCGTGTCTGTTCCAGGTTAGCATGTCTGTTCCATGTTAGCATGTCTGTTCCAGGTTAGCATGTCTGTTCCAGGTTAGCATGTCTGTTCCAGGTTAGCATGTCTGTTCCAGGTTAGCATGTCTATTCCAGGTTAGCATGTCTGTTACAGGTTAGCATGCCTGTTACAGGTTAGCATGTCAGTGCAAGGTTAGCGTGTTACATGGGGAAATCAAACACCACCAGTAACCACGGTGACCTGCCCCTGGCCCTATTTGTTACTCAGAGAAATCAAAACAGTTACCACAGGCAGGGTGCCTTCTGCTGGTCGTTAACCTTATTTGTTCTTAACATAATAAGACCCTCATGCCCGTAGCCTGGATTTTGAATGGGGGGTTCTTCCCACTGCTTGAGGGGACCTCGAGTCCTGTAGGCGTGAGGTGAGCATCAAAGGGGCGAGGTTCCTAGCAGTGTTTCCGCCAGACTGCAGCTGAGAGGCCGTCCAGTTGGGAAGGGCCGGGTCGCGAAAAATAATTAACTTAGGGAACACGTCGCAAAACTTAACTGAGGGGGCGGGGCATTTGTTTACACTTGTTTACAAGTTGAAACTGTCCACAAGCATTCCACATTTTTTTGTATTGACATAAAAACACTGTTACAGATGGCAAACGTATCGTCAGGAAATTATACTGTTGCAAAACTCTGCTGCAAAACTCCAAACATCGGCATCATTAATCCGGTAGCGCCCGCCCTAGCCGGATTTTTAATAGTGAAGAGCCTTGCTTTGTTCGTACTCGTACTTCTTCCGTACATTTCCGCTACGAATTACTAGTTAATATCAAGCCAAAAATACATCAAAACATGTAAAGAAACGTCATCTTACCTCTCATACACGAGACAAATTTTGAAAAATAATTGGCTGCATCGTAGCTTTCATTGCTGTTTCATTCAACAAAAATGCTCCTTGATTGTAATATGATCACTCATCTGTTGTCTCCAGTACAGTGTCAAATGGTAGTGTGATCGTAGCGTGCGAAAAATCGGCGTCAAAAGCCGGAAAAATAAACTTGCAGCGCGCATTCTCAACCTCGCCGGAAAAGGAAATATGCACCATTTTGTCATTAATATGTAAGTAGCAGCGTGAACTCTACGCTCTGATTGGTTGACCTCATATGCTCTGATTGGATAGAGCCATCTTTGCCGGCATAGCTGTAGAATTTGTTTGTTGGCGAAGAGAGTTACACTACGCTACTTTCTACGGTGTTTCTACCGCTAATTAGTAACATTCCATTAAAGAAATTCATTATGAAGAATTTTTGGGAAAATGTATGCATCCATATGCCGATTTGTGGTGCCTTTTGCGTATTCAAGCAAGCCGGAAGTGTTAGCGAATCGCGGCGTGGATAGCGAACTGCGGCGTGGATTTTCATGCAACCCGCCCGCTACAAGACCATCAAAAACAAAAACGTAACTCCCAAAAGAGAATTTTCACATCCGAAATGATTCTGTTCGAGGAAAAATGTTCGTGGATACATTTTACCGGATGGAGACTTGAAAAACGGGTTTTAATGAGATTAACGTATGCGAAAGGCGCCGACATCAATTGTTCGTCAGCATGATAACAATAGCAAAACAAACAACGTGCGTCTTTCTTGCCTTGGACGGCGTCCTCGTCTACAGCAACAAAACAAAGACTGTCAATTTCTCTGATTTTTCCGAGTCTCCAAATTTTTAAGAGGACGGCCTCTGTCCGAGTTCAGGCCGTCCAAAACGACACCAGGCCGTCATATGACGGGTAGACGGCCCTCTGGCGGAAACACTGGTTCCTAATCCTAGGGGGGTCCGGGGGCATGCTCCTCTGGAAAATTTTGAAAAATGAACCTTCTAAAATGGCATTTCGTGCGTTTTTGAGAGGATTTCCAAGAAAAAAATCAGAGATAATTTTTATTTGACAAAGGGAGCAGTTTTTCTACGATTCTAATCCATCTTTTCAAGCTCTTTTCAATATCTTGGACCTTTACATACATAAAAAGTGGACCAACAAGTGGATCTTTTGGGGGGGTCTTCAGAACCTTCCGAACCCCCTCTGGATATGAGCATGACCCTGACCAACTAAATAGAATGTTATAAGAAAAGTTCCATACCTGCTTCCCTATACTGTCCAAACACAATGTCCCCAGGGTTAAGAGCCGCAGCACTGCCCATGTGAGTGGCCTCCTCCCCGTAGTTGGTCATGTAGAAAGAGATTCTCCCTTGTCTCTGGGACTCGTACAGGATACGGTCCATGGTGTTCAACAGAGTCATCTTGTGGTACATGTCATAAACTGCTTCCTTTGACAACTGCGTTTTTAGATTTGAAAAAAAGAAACAGACGGATTGAAATCCTATTTTTTGCATACCTACTTCAAAGCAGGTAGAGTTAATAAATAAAAAAAATACACTATGTGGGTGGACCATTTAGACTATCACCTTAAATCAGTCTGCCGTTTATATAATCTACCCCCCCCTTCTTCCTGCCCCTCTATTGTATTCATATACCTACAAACGCATACAAACATACACAAAACAATACCTTCATGCATACACTAAAACCTAGAGGTGTAAAAACTTCAGTTTACAAAACACGCTGGGAAAGACTGGATTAATTATTAAGTAATACCATACAGTAGATCCACCCAGATAAGAGGCGTACCAGTTAGTATGGCCTTACTCCAATACAGGACTTTGTGTTGCTTAGCGTCCCTTCCAACTGACTGTTGCAGAAACCCTTTCCAGTCGTGAGCAAGTTGAGAACAAACCTTTGGGTCCTGGTCAGCCTCAATGATCTTCCCTTGTCTGTCCAGTACTCTGTACACAGGGATGCCATTGTACACGTCAGGGGTGATGAACTCCAGCTTCTTGGTGAACTCTGACCTGGAACCAGGAAACTGTGGCTTGTCTTCCTCAAGGTCTAGGGTCTGGGAACTCATTTGCTGGATAAAATGAACAAACTTGCACAAATGTACATCATTTTTATATGCTTTTTCCCATTTTCCCTTGTTTTTGTTTGGGAATATTCAACCAAATTCTTTTAGATAAGCTATTTTGGATTGGACAGGGTGTCACATCTGGATTGGATGGGGTGTCAATCAAATCTGGACTGGTCAGGGGTGTTAAATTTTACTGTCTGGATTTTACGAGAATTATTTTCGACTTCAACTTGACCCCTCACATCAATCTGTACATATGTTGACATAATCACTTTTAAATTCATGGTCTGGCCTGTTCAGCTCGCATGAATCCAACATGGCTGCTGATCGCCAAGGGTTTGTATAGTTATTCCCTCCGAGGCGGGGTTGTGTTTAGGGTTCTATCCCCGGCCCGGCAGGTGAGTGCGTTGCGGAGCCAGGGACACTAAACATTTGAGGCCGGTCCGTTGGATGAGGGCCGGCCTGGCAAAAGTGGAATCTGGTGAATGGGGTGCCCCACCACTCGGTAACCAGTGTATAGAGCTTATTCAATACACGTCATCATGACATCATCACCCCTCACGTCCTGTACGAGTCCACACAGTACGACGCCATTTTAGGGTGCATCTCTACAGCAAATTTCCAAGCGTTGAAACTGCCGACAAACGTTAGGTAAACTGTCCTTTCTCCGATTACACGAAGAGTTTACCACCACTCGTACCTCTCGTTACCGGAACAAAATAAAATCTGTTGGGATTGACCTGTTCCTATTGAGTTTTAATCAGTTTGAATTTGATCGAGACGGTGTCTACTGCCAGCGGAGCTCATTGACTTAGCTCCATATATTGGTACTGGGCAGAAGTTTTTACACATAGAATCGGTTCAAACCCTTAAGAGTCTGGAAGCGTACAACTACATAGTATCAACTATCGCCAAGAGTTTGCATAGCGTACCACAGCGATAGGCACCATGCTGGACCACATCATGGCCGACAATGCTCGTTGGCTTGGGGGAAAGTCACGTGACAATCTGTGGTGAATAAGCCCTATACATACTAACGGGGTACAGAGTCACCATGGCTGTATCACACCAAGGAGGTATAAAAATCAAAAGGAGGGAGAACAGGATTACTGCCCTTTCAAGGATGTTTGCCTCAGGTGTGAAGTATCAACTTCATGTTGACATGCTAATTACCCCCAATTTGCATAATGTTCGCTGGTTTGGACCCATCAACCAGGTAAAAAATCAACCTCCTTGATCACACCATATACACCTTGACGCGGGTCATTAACTCTAATTATTCACAGTACCAGTCGAACCGCAGACCGCTATGCGCATCGGTTCTGCGCAGCTCTCTCTAAGATCTCGTTTAAATCTCGCGCTTCTTTTCCAAGGTAATGTGATCCGCGAGAATCCGCGAGAGTTTGCTACTGTTTACTTTTTTGCTTGTAACTTCGCTTTGCGTAAATGTTTCCTTGTCATACGGCGTCACGCTCAAGGTTGTAGATGTACATTACCGGTGGTGTTTGTTGGAGAAACGAGGTTTCAAAGTTGACCGTGTTTGATGGAGATGATTCCACTCGAGATAGGTACCCTTTAGTTTTTTTTGGGGGCAAACCCGTTTGCCCTATTTCATCGTCGATTTGGTGTATTGTTTAATAAAGTATAGACCCTCCCTCATCTATCGTGTGTTGTTTCTTTTGGGATCCTGTAGTTGTTACAATATAGTAACCGATAGTAAGTTGGGCTTATTCAGTCGAATTCTCGACGATGTTTGTTCGAATCGCAAGCTTTTGCAACTAGTTCTAACCAATACACCTGTAATGTCAGATATGGATGAAATATAGTTATGTTGGCTTGACACCTGTGTACTTAGTTTTGAAGTTGCACAATGTGTATTTCAGCTCGACATTGAGAAAAAGTGTAATTTCTTTACAGTTTCTTTGCCTTTAAAAATGTTCTGTTAAAAGTTACATACAACAAAAATGAAAGTGAAAGAATATCGACCAAATAGTATGCTTCAAAACGATACCCACTTTACGGATGAAAACAGAAGAGAAGGAATTTGGGCATGAACAAATACAACAACAGGTTGATTTGTCATGACCTAATTTTTGAAGGAGAAATCGGACACTATGACCTGTTACTGTAAATATACAAACATCGGGCATATGTGCTGACATTGGTATAGTTGCACATGAATCCCACTTTCTCTAGCGTCTTCATGATATAAGTCTGACTTGGAATGGGTTTCGTAAAGTCTGTTTGTAATGAAAAAACTTGATTCCTTCTTTTCATGAACTTTCGCAACCAGCGGTTGAAAGTTGCAACATTGTTGGCGGCGCGAAAAATGGAACGCGCTGCCTTGGTTCCATGGATCGAACGCAAGAGTTCGAAACCGATTTGCTTCAAATTTGACGATTTTTGAATGGTCAGAACCTTGTATTAAATTCCTCTTTTTGTATATACTTGAATGGTATCATACCACTTATTATATTGCATGTGGTAGCCACATTCATACAGTTTCCCATACCAAGAAACGAATCTTATGACATTACGCGAAATGTATCAAAATGTAGCGGAAACTCAGGATGGTGTGTGTCAGTAGCTTACAACTGGGCTAAAAGTTGACCACCACGATGTGCGCATCGTCACAGTTTTTTTGGGGGCAAACCCGTTTGCCATAAAATTTACCAGGGGTCTTTGGCATCAATGTAAAGGCGAAGAAGTGGGCTATCACACTGTGGTATTAGCTAATGGGATCCAGTTGAACAGCAAAAAAGACAAGCACAAATAAAGTGACCAAAAATTGCTAATGTTTGGAAGGCCGTAGCGCTAGCTGTTATTTTGCAATGCACGAAATATCTACCTGGTTGTACACGGCAAAGCCTGCAGGTATGAAAAAGTATAAACATTATGTAGGTCTGAGGTATTTTTGTTACACTATAGGCAGTTGTTTACACCCATGCAACGGGGTCAAATCGTGACCCGGCAAATGCCGTATCTTAGAGAATAACGCGTTCTACGGTGACCTGCGGTTCGACTGGTACATAATAGGATAATTGAACATCTTATCGCTGTCCGGATCCTCTATCGTGTCCATAACTGGCGGAACACAATGTTTAACCTTAACCTCAATATCCCATTTTATTATAACGTTACCTTGATACCATCTAGCACATTAATTAGCTAGAGACCATTGCGGCAAAGTTAGTTAAAGCAAGGAGGTTAATTGTATTTAACCTCCTTGGTAAAAACGAATGATACAACGTGGTGACGCAGACAAAATATGGAAGGCAAGGGTAACTTAAGTCTGTAGGATTTTTCGGTCACCTACGACGACACTCAGATCTTGACCAAACGGAAAAGGAACTTAGTGGACACATCAGGAGCTAATACGCACCCTGCCTTGTCTCGGTATCTTGTTGGAACCAGCATGCACGTTTCTAACGGCAAACGACGCAGAATTACGGTACAAACAGTGCTGCAACAACCCACGCACTCGGAAAACACTCCTCACCGCCGCCATCTTGGCAAGTACTTGCCGAGAATATACTACTAGTTCTATACAGGGGGATATATTTAGTCCCCATCTTAAAACCGTTTAAATGTTCCATCTGATAGAAACTGTCTAAGTGAAATAGTCTGTATTATTTAGACATATTAATATATTAAGAATAATATGACATATTGATATACTAAGAATGGTCTAAGTTTAAACAAAAGTGTGTTAAAATTAACGCCATACCCCTACTACAGAATGCAATCGCCTGCATTTCCAGGGCAAATGCAAATGCAAATACATACAGGAGAACTATTTTTTATTTCGAAATGTTGAAATGGATTTTAAAATTCAACTCGTTATGTGACGTTTTGTAACACTAAGAAATTCAATTTGCTGTTAGAAGTATTAATTGATACTGCGTTTTTTAAATCTTTTATTTCAATACTTTATCAATATGGAATTATAAGTAGGCCCAATAACCCCTTTCGAAAATGTAATCGTCCGAGTTTCCGGATTCAGATTGTGATGTAGGTCAAACATGAGGCAAACATGGCTACCGAACAGACGTTGAGATCTTTTGGATGCGAACAGAACTTGCTATCCCGTCCAGATGGCTCAGCAAATTTTACACAAGGTATGGGTGCTAAAAAGCTGTCTTGTATTCTTGACTGAGATCGAAAATATTGTCAATGGGGCCGGCAACGCTGACCTTGCGTAACCGTAAAGTCTAGATCTTGCGTAACGTTGAAAATTTCTGCACACACACGTGCTGCAAGAAAGAAAATGCTGGTTGTCCGTATACTGAAGTACGGTGCATCAGGCGGCCTGTTGGGGACGTCAGCCTTCTGGTTACACTACAATAGCTGGGACCCTGTGGACAGTGCCGTGGGTCTGGTGAGAATGAGCAGAGCCTTCGCAACCGTGGCCAGGATCGCAGTGGACTACAAGAACACCCTTTCCAATGCGGCAGTAGGGACGGAGGAATACGTACAGCTGAAGTCAGCTTGTCACCTAAGGTCTGCTGAGCGACTGTACCAGCTGTGCTGTGTCAACCGTGGCTGTTACATCAAGGTTGGACAGCACATCGGGGCTTTAGACTATCTATTGCCCCGGGAATATGTGCAGACTATGAAGACACTTCACAGCAAGGCACCACAATCTTCACTAGAAGAGGTACACCAGGTTATAAAAGAGGATCTCGGAAAGGAGACTTGTGAGATCTTTCACTGGTTTGACGAGCAGCCTCTCGGTGCCGCCTCGCTCGCCCAGGTCCACCGGGCCACGCTACACGACGGGACGTCAGTGGCAATAAAAGTGCAGCATCCCAAGGTACAACGCCAGTCCAACCTGGATCTGAACACCATGGAATTACTGGCCAGAATTGTAGCCAGGCTGTTTCCTGAGTTTCAGTTTCTGTGGTTGTGTGACGAGGCAAAGAAAAATCTTCCAAGGGAGCTGGACTTCCTTCAAGAAGGTCAGAATTGTGAGAAAGTGGAGATGATTCTTAAGAAGTACAGCTATCTCAGAGTGCCCAAGATCCACTGGGAACTTTCGACCAAAAGGGTGCTCACTATGGAGTTCTGCCAAGGTGGACAGATCAACGATCAGGACTACATGCGGGACAACGACATTGACGTGAATGAAGTCACACGAAACCTGGGGAAGCTGTACAGCGAGATGATCTTTGTTCAGGGTTTCATCCACTGTGATCCGCACCCCGGGAACGTGCTGGTGCGGAAGACTGAGAACTCTGGGACAGAGATTGTGCTGTTGGATCATGGCTTGTACCAGACACTGTCCGACGAATTTCGGCTGGACTATTCACGACTTTGGCAGGCCATCCTGGCTGCAGATGTGGAGGGCATCAAAGAGTACAGCAAGCGCCTGGGAGCGGGTGACATGTACGGGCTGCTCGCCTGCATGGTGTCTGCCAGGTCGTGGGGCGCGCTGACGAGGGGTATCGACAAGACGCCCATCTCAGAGGGAGAGGACGACGAAGTGAAACGATACGCCGCGACGCTCATTCCGCAGATCTCGGACCTCCTCAACCGAGTTCCACGACAAATGCTGCTCCTCTTCAAGACAAACGACCTGTTACGGGGTATCGAACACGCTCTGAACTGTCGCGCCAACGCATCATCCTTCATCAACATGTCCCGCTGCTGTGTGCTCGCGCTTAGCAACCACCAGCTGAAAACCTCCACCAAATGGACAGAACGCATGAAGATCTTGGCGTCACGGGCGATCACTCTCTGGAAAATAGACCTCTACGAGTTCTTTTTATGGTTCACCACTACTGCTTTAGTCCGGTGGATTAGCCAACCAATATCTGTCAACTGATTTACTGACAATAGGGGCTGACCAGAATCATCATAATTATGTTTTATCATAGAGGTAATATTGATATGAACAGAACAATGAGAGATATTGATGGATATTCTCATCTCAGGGAGTATTTGTCATTTGCAATTTTGAACACAAAATATTCTGACAAACAAGCACTGATCAGTACGATTGGATTTGGGAGTGTTAAGGCTTAAGGGAGCTCACCAGTTTATTTCTATGCTGCACAACCTCAAGTCTAGTGACTATTTCTTTCAGGGAATAATTCTGCAGCAAAATAACTGTACAATATGATGGAAGGATATCCCTTCAGCTGGGGGACCATCTGAGTTTTGTTTCTTCAACCTCCTTACTCTGTAATTTTGTAAAAAAATTAGCAGAAACGAACATAATTTTCACATTGATATCAAAGCACAAATTGGGAATTTTTGGTCAGGATAAAACCTGAAGAAAAAATCCTGTGGCAGAAATTATTGATGGCATAAAGATACAAACCTTGACTCAATTATTAAGAAAATTTTGTTGTATAGTAATAGTAGCACTGTAAAAACCACAATGTGGTGATGAAAATCCATGTACATGTTACAGATTAGTCTACTACTACTAGTACTAATAACGTTACATGTATCTGGGGCAAATGGACACATCAATTTCAATGTTGAAGAATACCCAGAAGGCTTTTCAGCCATGTTAGTATTTTAATGTCATTTCACAGCAGATAATAAGAAATGTATTTTTTACTCAAAGTCAAAGTCAAACTCAAACTTTTTTACTCAAAGTCAAACTTGCATTGGATTTGGATACTAGTACTCGAAACCCTGCAGTGTCATGGGCCCTGGTTGTGTTTGAGAATATTTGGAGTGAAAAATGATTTGGCATAACCTAGAAAATGATGTCTTACTGCAGTGACTAATGTCAAATATTGTTTTTATTGATACAATATCAGGGATCGAAATAATGGGTGCATGTGCACCTTAGTGCACCCAAATCTGGATCGGTGCACCCGATTTTTGACTGTGGGTGCACCGGTGCACCTAAATATTTTTGTAGTATTAGTACGGTAAAGGTACAACATTGCTTTGATGGAATAAAATAATAAAAAACCTTTGATGCACTGCTTGTTTGAAATTCTTGAGATAGAATTAGATTTACTTCAGTTTTTAAAGCCCGAAAAATTATGTGTCGGCGCAGTGCCGACTTCGCGTTACCCACCAACTTCCGGATCCCGACTACAACACTGGACATGAGATCTCTTCCCTCTCGTTCCCCGGTTTCTTGATAGTCATGTGACCAAAACATCGCGAACTCGCTTCCGGAACTTTCCGACGCTTTTTGGGAGTTACCTCGGGGGCTTGTCATGTGAGAAAATGTTGTTTTCGTGCAGTTTTCGCTTGACTTCGATAATCTTCGAGGTCACATCGTCAAAACCCGGGTGTCGACAAAATTCGGCCATGAAATTCGTGGATGACAAAGCAAAACAAATATGTCGAGACAGACTTCGCTTCTACGGTTCCTTCAGCCGAGGTCCGATCGTGATGACGACGAGATGTGGCAACATCAGCCCAAGCTCTTCAGAACCCCGAAGGAAGCGATGAAGCTGGAAACCAACGGGAAACACGCCCGGACGAGCGAGAAGTGGACAGACCGTGCCGTGGGAGCGCCGAGACAGAGGGGGAGGGGGCGGCC